GCCCACAGAATATTATAGGTATAGACTACTTAAAATTGTATGAAATATAAAACGATATCAAAAGCAAATGACCCGAAATATTTTCAGAAAATTGCATTTCAATGTGGGTGATATTGTTAGTAAATGTAATTTTGGAATGGTGCACTTCTACAAAAGGTTGATATGGAAAAGCCTATTCTGGAATGAGGAGGTGGCTGCTCTATTTGCTCCCTGAGTGCATGCCATTCTTTCTAGTTGAATAGATGACCAAGAGCCATTGATAACAAATAATGCACTCCAGTCATTTACCGTTCATGTGTGTGACCACATTCTTCCCAATGCAGCGCCACCTAGCAGTTTGCAGAAGATTGCAAATTGAGTCATTATTGCCTTGCAGAATGTATATATACAAAATGAAGTAACAGGATTTCCTTAACATCTACATGTCCTTTTGGCTGCTTATCAAAGAATTTTATTACGGCTACACCACTATGTGGTAAAGTCATGTTGTTTTTCCTCATGTTTCTTCTTCTTCTCCTGTCATTTCTCTAAATGGATTCAACTTCTTCATTTTTGGGCCCAAATCAGAATACATATATGTTGGTAGTGCTCAGTGCATATGGGAGGTTTCACCTTAACGTTTCTTCCCACTTGCTTACAGATCACCTTCTTCGCTGCCTTCATGTCCCTGACCGGGCGCCGAGAGCGGGCCAACCGTCACTGCCTCACCTGTCGTCCCGTCCTGCCCCAATCACAGGCACGGCACAAAAGCGCCACCTACCGACTCTGCTGCGCAGCAGGCGTGTCGAGGCAGGAAGGCGCGTTTGACAACCCCTCCTCTAAAGAATTTAACCAAGATCCTTTGTTAAACAGGTTATTGTATACTAACTTCGTTCCATTCATTTTGAAACCCTCGCCAAAAGTGGTCATATTTCTTTTGTACGCTGCTTATCTGGGGGTAGCTATCTGGGGGTGCTTTCAAATCCGTATAGGTCTTCAGCACCAACGTACAGTAGCAGACGACTCATACGTTCGCGGATACTTCGATGCAGATGAGACGCACTTTCAAAAATATGGCCGTAAAGTAGACATCTTTACAACCGAACCCCAGGAATACTGGAAAACAGAAGTGCAACAGGCTGTCTTAGACAAACTGAAAGCCTTCGACCAGAGCCAGTATTTCTACGACACATCAGAGACCGCCGAGGTCTGGTTGCGAGACTATCTCCGTTTTCTGAATCGGACCGGTAATTCTCGTGCCGCCACAGACAAGACGTTCTTTTTGTGGATTCTGATTAGCCAGTTTCTGCCGACGGTTGGGCGCCAGTATTATAGGTCTGTAAATTTTACCGAAAACTACAATGTAATATCCGCGTCCCGGTTCTTTGTTATTCCAAAGGACGTGACAACCAGTCATGCCAGTGAGAGAGGGGAAGCCATGATGACAGAAGCTCGTCGTATCGCAGAAGGCGAGCCAGTTATAATGAGGGCATACAGCGTTGACTTCTTCCTGTCAGACCAGCTAGCCTTGATCCCTCCGAGTGCGCTACAGACGGCGGGCATTGCCCTAGCGATCATGTTCGCGGTGTGCTTCCTCATGATTCCGCACTGTGTCGCTGCTTTCCTCACCACCTTTGCTCTGGTGTCCATCACCGCGGGCCTTGTGGGGTACATGACGTTATGGGAGGTAAATCTCGACGTGATCTCTGTGATAGCTATCCTCATGTGTATCGGGTTCTCCGTGGATTTCTTCGCACACATTACCTACGCTTATGTCACTTCCAAAGCTGAAACTCCCGAGAAAAAACTGACAGATGCCGTGCGTGGCGTCGGCATGCCCATGCTGCAATCTTCTCTGTCCACTATCCTCGGCATGTTAGTCCTGGCCTTTTTTCCAGCTTATATTTTCCAGGCGTTATTCAAGACCATTTTTCTGGTGATGGTCCTCGGGGTGGCTCACGGACTGGTCATCCTCCCCATTCTGCTGACCACCTTAACGGGGCTGTGTGGTCAACGGAACGTTCAAGAACAGGGGAGGACAGTCAATGAAAATACTAAGACTCTCGCAATTCCCCGTCCCTCCTATACAAGACCTCACTCGAGCAGTTCGTATATGCCTCGCAAAGCGCCAAAGGTTTATGTTAGGAAACCAGAGAGTTCCTTGCCTACTTTACGTCCTAAAGTCGGGAAGGATAACCCGTATTTTACTCCGGAAATGCGCGAGTGGATAAAATGGGTAGGCAGGCAAAAATCGGGAGTGGATAATCCAAGTATGGAATCAGATTACCCAAGGGCCTAAGGCCACAACATGTAAATTTTATGGATGACATCCTCCGCCGACTCCAAATCTAATGCGAGCGGGCGAAAAAAACAAGGCGGGCGGAAAAAAAAAACAAGGTTCCTACATTTTAAAATGTTGACTCAATCAATGTACAAATGCTTTTTATTCAATGCGAACATCATATACACAGCCAGTATCACATATCACTGCATCAAAGTAAGAAACAAAACATTAAATCAGAGCCTTTTCTTGTCTCCTCTCTTCAGTTATCTGCCTCCCGGCATGGCAACAGACATCATGCCCATTTTCGGCATGTTGGCCACTGTCAGAGGGCAACAAAATTTCTTGTTTTTTTTTTTTCAAAACCAGGCGAAAATTAATGCGCGCGCGGATGTCATCCATAAAAATTACTTGCTGTGGCCTAAAGTCAGTTAATGAATCAACTTTGTTCCACAACAATTGTAACAAAATGTGAGCTAACGCTTTGAAGTTGGGCAATGCCTAAGCATGTTCTGCTGAATGATTCTCCATTCTCACATTTGGTATTTGTTTTGTATATGCTATATGACAATTTACAATAATTGAGTTGGAAGATTAAAACAATCATGGTTGTTTTGCTCAGCAGATGATCCATTTTACTGTGAGCAGGACAAGGTATACTAGAGATATGATCATGGACAGCAACAAAGTTGTGAAATTAGAGGGAACTATATCTTTTCTGCATTTCTGAGGTTGCAGAAGATTTTTTGCAACTTCTGAAAATGTCTCAGTAACATTGCTTCTTATAGCTATATATAGGAAAACTTAGAAATAAGACTTCTTGAAATCCAAAAAGCTTGTGTTGTATGCCTTTCCTACAAGACTGTTAGATGTTACTAGGCCTCGTTGATTTGATTATATGGATGATATCCTCTAGGAACCCAAAACGTGTGCGAGCGTGCAATAAAAAGTTTGGGGGTGCCTAGAGGAAGTCAATCTAACCAATATGGCCTTATATTATATTATATTATATTATATTATATTATATTATATTATATTATATTATATTATATTATATTATATATAAGACATGCGGTGGAAGAGAGAGATTTTATATCATATCTATTAAATTTCATTATAGAAAGGGTACGATATATATGTATATATCGACATAACTACGAAACCCAAATGCACGCTCCTTTGAGAAATAGGCAATGTTTCTCATTTAAATTTGCTTCTTCGGTAGACGTACCTTTCTGTCCTCACTGACTTCTTCATCACAGAAAAAACTCTCTAAATTCCTCTGACCACTTGTGCACAAAATGAAACACCATGCACTGGTACTTGGCATCTGGAATCCGCCCTGCTATGTCAACTGTTCTGTAGCTGCTGTCGACCTGGAACAGGCTGTTCCAATAGCTAGCTTATAGAACAATGTTTTTCAGCAAAGACAAGTTTCCAATAAGACTCTTCTGTATATTCCTCATCACATTATATATATTGGGACACCTCCATCATTTTAGCAATGTCATCTCCACAGTCCTGCATATGTGAATTAAATGTCAACCAACTCTTAACAATCGTAACTGATATCTCTTCTGCAGTTGTTCCGATCTCCAACTCTTTCTGAAGCTGCTTTCGGAGCTCATACTGTCTCAGAAAAGCCTATCTACTCTCTACTAGGACGCAGTATTAAAGTTTTAATCTCCATGCAGATCTTTTAGTGGCTGCAAAGACAGGAATAATAAATAAATTGGCCAGGCAGTATCCATTTTTCACCATTGGGTGGCGATATTGGATACTGTCTTGCAAATGAATACTGCCTGGCCAAATTTCCCACTGCTTTTGCAGCCATCAAAAGATCTGCTTGGAGGTTACTAGTATCAAAAACTAGCCATAAGCCACAATCGGCGTCACTCCACTAAATAGTAAGGAAGTCGTGTTATGTGCCTTTCCCAAAGGCACAGCAACGAAAACGTTATGAATACTAAGGGACAACTTAAATAGGATATTTTATAAGACATTTTAAAGTAGCACTCTGTAAGGATAGCACTTTAAAAATATGTTCGTAGCATGAGGTGTTACTGCGAAAACAACGCCCTGTGTGCCTAATATATATAAATGGGAATTCGTTAAAATTTCTATCTACATATATATATATAGTGTGCCTAATATATATGAATAGGAATTCGTTCAAATTTCTATCAATATTGAAGCTATTTAATTTCATTGTAATTGTCTCTGGAATGGTAATAGTTTGTCTCTAGACTTGTAATAGCTTGTTTCTAAATTTCCAATTGTCTCAAAATCGTAATAGTTCGTTTCTAGAGTTAGTATGTTTATCCATCTAGAATTGTAATTATCTCTTGATTGCAATAGTTTGTCTCTAAAATTGTAATAGTTTGTATCCAGAGTATGAGTATTTGATTAAGACATTTTAAGGAAGCACTGTGAGGATAACGCTTTAAAAATCTATAGGCATTCGTTAAAATTTCTATTTACTATAATAGGTGTTTTTCAGAGATATCATATATGTCTATTTGAATTTCTTCTGTCTTTTCTTTTTTTCTAATTAATAAATAGTGATGCCAGACTAGTATTGTTTTCTATTGCGTACGTTGTTTCGAGGTCATTACTCCGTCATAGCAATTTAAAATCATCTTTATTACGATGAACATATAAGATGAAAGACTCCATAGATAAAGCCTAGAACAGCCATCTATTTCTTGCTATAAGGGAGAACGCAAGGCAAGTAAGACAAAATGTTAAGTTCCTGTGTGCATCGGGCATTTCGGCGTTTCCATTTAAAATCATTTTTACACATGAATTGCAAGTGCATTTTATACATAGATATAACAAAATACGTTTTAGAGATATAAGGAAATGGAGTCTGTTACATCAGATTTAACTTCTACAACAAAACAGCCCTAAAGTACTAGAGTTGTGTTTCTAGCACAATATATGGCATAAGATGCACAAAGTGCGTAGAGTATATTTTAGGGATAGCGATGAATTACAAAGTTACCTGTATACGTAGATTCAATATAATGTCTATGTATCATGTGCTCTTTCTATAATATAAGGCCATACTGATTAGATTGACATCCTCTCCCACTCCCAATTTCTTTTAATTTGCACGTTGGCGTCTGTTTTGGGGCTACCAGACGATGTCATCCATATAATGAAATCAACAAGACCTAGTAACATCTAACAGTCTTGTGGGAACATATAACACAAGCTTTGGGGATTCCAAGAAGTCTTATTTCTAAGTTTTCCTATATAAAGCTATAAGAAGCAATGTTCCTTAGACATTTTCAGAAGTGCAACCTCAGAAATGCAGAAAAGACAGTTCCCTCTATAGCTAATTTCACAACTTTGTTGCTGCCCATGATCATATCTTTAGTATACCTCGTCCTGCTCACCGTGAAATGGATTGTCTGCTAAGCAAAACAACCATGATTGTTTTAATCTTCCAACTCAATTATTGTATACAAAACAAATACCAAATGTGAAAATGGAGAATGCAATACAGCAGAACACGCTATCAAGGCATTGCCCAACTTCAAAGCGTTAGCTCACATTTTGTTACAATTGTTGTGCAATAAAGTTAATTCGTTAACTGACTTTAAGCCCCTGGGTTATCTGGTTCCATATTTGGGTTATCCACTCCCGATTTTTGCCTGCCTACCCATTTTATCCACTCGCGCATTTCCGGAGTAAAATACGGGTTATCTTGCCAGACTCTAGGACGTAAATTAGGCAAAGAACTATCTGGTTTCATAACATAAAGCTTTGGCGCTCTGCGAAGCATAGATGAACTGGTCGAGTGAGGTCTTTGATAGAAGGGACGGGGAATGCCTCCGTTAGGCATTGCTAGAGTCTTGATATTTTTCTTGACTGTCGTCTGTTCTTTAACGTTCCCTTGACCACACAGTCCCGTTAAGGTGGTCAACAAAATGGGTAGGATGACCAGTCCGTGAGCCACCCCGAGGACCATCACAAGGAAAACGGTCTTAAATAACGCCTGGAAAATATAGGCTGGAAAAAAGGCAAGTACTAACATGCCGAGGATAGTGGACAGAGAAGATTGCAGCATGGGCATGCCGACGGCACGCACGGCATCTGTCAGTTTTTCCTCGGGAGTTGCAGCTTTGGAAGTGACATAAGCGTGGGTTATGTGTGCGAAGAAATCCACGGAGAACCCGGTACACATGACGATAGCTATCACAGAGATCAGGTCGAGATTTATCCCCCATAAGGTCATGTACCCCACAAGGCCCGCGATGATGGAAACCAGAGCAAAGGTGGTGAGGAAAGCAGCGACACAGTGCGGGATGAAGAGGAAGCACACCGCGAACATGATCGCTACAGCAATGCCCGCCGTCTGTAGCGCACTCGGAGGGATCAAGGCTAGCTGGTCTGACAGGAAGAAATCAATGCTGAATGCCCTCATTATAAATGGCTCGCTTTCTGCGATACGACGAGCTTCTGCCATCATGGCTGCCCCTCTCACGCTAGTGGTAGTTGGCACGTCCTTTGGTATGACAAAGAACCGGGACGCGGATATGCCAGTGTAGTTTTCTGTAAAATTTACAGACCTACAATACTGCTGCCCAACCGTCGACAGAAAAAGGCTGATTAGAATTTGCAAAAAGGACGTCTTGTCTGTGGCGGCACGTGAATTACCAGCCCTATTCAGAATACGGAGAAAGTCTCGCAACCAGACTTCAACGGTCTCTAATGTGTCGTGGAAATACTGGCTCTGGTCGAAGGCTTTCAATTTGTCTAAGACAATCTGTAGCACTTCTGTTTTCCAGTATTCCTGTGGTTCGGTTGTAAAGATATCTACTTTTCCTGTAAAATTTAAAGACCTATAATACTGCTGCCCAACCGTCGGCAGAAACTGGCTGATTAGAATCTGCAAAAAGGACGTCTTTTCTGTGGCGGCACGAGAATTACCAGTCCGATTCAGAAAACGGAGATAGTCTCGCAACCAGACCTCGGCGGTCTCTGATGTGTTGTGGAAATACTGGCTCTGGTCGAAGGCTTTCAGTTTGTCTAAGACAGCCTGTTGCACTTCTGTTTTCCAGTATTCCTGGGGTTCGGTTGTAAAGATATCTACTTTACGGCCATATTTTTGGAAGTGCGTGTCCAATGCATCGAAGTATCCGCCGACGTATGAGTCGTCTGCTACTGAACGTTGGTGCTGAAGGCCTATATGGATTTGAAGCCACCCCCAGATAGCAACCCCCATGTAAGCAGCATACAAAAGAAATATAACCACTTTTGACGAGGGTTTCAAAATAAATGGAACGAAGTTAGTATACAATAACCTGTTTAACACCGGATCTTGGTTAAATTCTTTAGAGGAGGGGTTGTCAAACGCGCCTTCCTGCCTCGACACGCCTGCTGCGCAGCAGAGTCGGTAGGTGGCGCTTTTGTGCCGTGCCTGTGATTGGGGCAGGACGGGCCGGCAGGTGAGGCAGTGACGGTTGGCTCGCTCTCGGCGTCCAGTCAGGGACATGAAGGCAGCGAAGAAGGTGATCTGTAAGCAAGTGGGAAGAAACGTTAAGTTGAAAACCTCCCATATGCACAGAGCACTACCAACATATACACTACCAAAAATGTTTTTCTTAGTTTTCTTATTTTCTTATGTTGAGAAAAATTCTAAAGCAAAAATACCTTTTGATTCTTAGAAATCTTTGTTCTTGTATTCCTTGTCCAAAAAGTTTAAGAAATATTACTCTTATTTTTCCTCGTAATGTTCAAGATGATGCAAGAACTTTTTTCTTAATTTTCTAGCTACATTTCATATGATCTTTTCTGAACCCCTGATTGGTTGATTCAAATCCCAGAATGCAGTTAGGAAGTTTTGAACAGAAGAAGGGGAGAAGTCAGATGTGGGAGCAGTGCTCTGTGCTGGTTACCTCTTTTTTTTTCAGATATTCATTCATGTCAGTCAAAAGCAAGGTTATATGTGGAGCAATGGTGATCGTGGTCAGCTTGCAGAAGAAACCAACTTTGCAAGAGAAAAAGCATAGAACCAAACAGATAGATTAGGTAAGTACGCCACCTAGAAGAAAAATCTGTTGACATTTGTTTTCAGACTTCATAGCCAAAGTACTGCTACAATTCCATTGGGGTTGATTTCAAAATCATATCTCTTGTATATAGTTTAGTACAGTGTATTGCTGTATTTGAATATAATTTTCAATTGTTTGCTTAAAGTAATCAATTCTAATATTGTAGCATCCTCTTTTGGCTTTGTTGCCTTCAGTGCACGCATGCAGTGCAAACTAACACAGGTCTTTCCTTTTTTAAGGTGTCCAAAGAGTGTGACTGTGCCAAAGCTTTTATGCCAAAACGGCAGGGTTTGCTGAATATGTTTCAGAATGTGATATGATCTGGATTCTGTAATCATAATGGCTAAATAGTTACATCATATAATTTTTCAAAAGTTTACTGTAAAACCATTCCCTTTTGAAGATGATTGTTAACCCTAACATTTAGTTAAGTAAAAACTTTATTTTCTGTTTTATAGTGTATATATATATATATATATATATATATATATATATATATATATGTATGTATGTATAGGGCACTATATATTCATTTTCGTGTGGGCAGAATGTTTTTCTTGTTACAATAACAGTGAACTCTTAGTTTAAGAAATGTTTCTTGTTTGCAGAATGGTTGTCTTGCTACAAGAACAGTTAGGTCTTAGTTCAAGAAATCTTTTCTTATGTACAGAATGGTTTTCGTGCTACAAGAACAGTTAGGTTTTAGTTCAAGAAATATTTTCTTGTGTACAGAAATGTTTTCTGGCTACAAGAACAGATAGCTGAAAGTTCAAGAAATATTTTCTTGTGTGTAGAAAGATTTTCTTACTACAAGAACAGTTAGGTCTTAGTTCAAGAAAACCTTTCTTAAGTACAGAATGGTTTTCTTGCTACAAGAACAGTTAGGTCTTGATTTAAGAAATCTTTTCTTGTGTATAGAATGGTTTTCTTGCTACAAGAATAAGTTAGCTCTTAGTTCAAGAAATATTTTATTATCTACAGAAAGATTTCTGACAACAAAAATATAGTTCCATACACTGCCTGCTAAGGAAATAATCCCTTTTTTGCAGCACATATCCCTGCTATTTAAGGTAGAGGGAAGCCTGTGCGTCACGCATGATAAGAGGGAAGATTTATCACCTGCAGGCACACAATCACCAGCTTGACCCCAGTTTGAGGTCAGTAACGTGCAAAGCAAAGGTCAGACTAAACCACTCTATAATAAAGGGGTTGTGAAATGTAAAAGGTTTTTCTAAACACACTGCAGATCTGCAGCAATCTGATAATGCACACAAAAACACAACGGCGCACGGCGACTTCCGCCATAACAAAGATAAACGCAATTCATCCAGCAGTTCTTGACATCATTGCGCCAAAAAGAATCGAAATTCAAACGACCCTGCAGATCCCCAAGAAACTGCTAGGGGGGGCTAAATTTACACAACTAAACCCTTTTCTAGACAACTATATGCCACCGTAACATCACGTTCACAAACCGTCCAGCGTCAAAGATATCTTTAAGAAATTCCTACTGCCGTTCCAAGGTCAATCACCAGGGGCCCAAAGTTACAATATATAATCCACTTTACCCCACCTACCCACATGCCAAATATCAACGCATTTCTTATGATGGATCTTGAGACACCAAAACATCATCCAGACTGAAACAAACACCTCCCACTTCATGGGGATGAAAAACACCATGAATACACCAGACATTTGTCTTCTCCATCTCCATACCACATTTTAGGTCATTTGGTCAAGAAATGACAAAAATGAATCCATTTAACGATATGATAGGAGGAGGAGGAAGAGAAACATCACTAAAAATAATATATTTCAATAATTCCTATGGTATGGAGTGAAATATAATAACGTTATGCCTCCTTGCATGTATGTATGCATGTAAGCGTAAATTAACATGCCTGATACAGGAAATCAAAAGCGACCCCCACGGCCGCGTAGGTACAGAAGATCCGTACGGCCGGGAAGACGCTCGTGATGCCGGAGGTGAACGCGAGGCAGTCGGTGAGGGACGTGATGGTGATGGACACCCCCGCGTCTGACATGGCACGGCCCATGCGCTCCTCCACCGGAAGTCGTACGTCACACTTCCGCCAGGCGGCGATCATGACGAACATGTCGTCCACCCCGATTCCTATATATACAGGAAGACCACCATAAACTAAAAGAAAGAAAACTTGTCTTTTGTTTTCGTTCACGCGAGTGAACGAAACAATGAGGTTTTAGGGTTTTTAGGGATAAACACCTAAAACGTCCATTAACAGAAACACTACTATTAACAATGGTGATAATATACGTACAATCATTTAAACGTGGTCATCACGATATATATATCTGAAAGGACATCACTGAAAACTCACCATGGAATGCGTTAATGTAAAAAAAATTCATTTCCAGGCGTCGCCAAAAATCACATTCTCAGGATAAAAGCGTATGAACCACAAAAGCATAGTATTAAACCAAGGACATTCATACCTAGAAGAAGGAACGGTATCGCTGCGTTTAGCGAAGAGAACGATACTCCTGCCAGAGGCAAGACTCCCATAGAAGAGACAATAGCCAGAGCCGCCGACAACACCCCTGTTACCGCTAACCACGGCTTGGTCAGGACCCAGTCTAGCATCATACACGACGCGACAGAGAGCAGAATTAACAGTCCCATAGCCGCTGCTACGTACGGAGACACTCTTGCAGGAAGAGTTCCTGTCTCTTCATGATGCCACCCCAGGATGATGTAGTCTACCGTGATTTTTTCGGACTCAAATTCCGAGCAGACCTGACGAAATGTGACTGTCCATTGGCTCAAATTTGCCTGTACGTCGTAGACTAGGTGGAGAGCCTTGCTGGATAATATGGTACTGCCGTCTTGACTGACTTCTACCCCTCCAAGATCTCTTCCAAAATACATGCCCAGATTATTGTTTACTCTGTTGGGGTTGTGGTAAGGATAGGTCAGGTTCATGGCTCGAAGCGCGGGTCCTGAGCCGGCTGTTATCATGAGTTGCAGAATTCCACTCAGAACACATTCGGTAGTAGCGGGGTCGCGGAAACAGAGAGCGGTGAACGTGTCTCCAGAGGCCGTATTCGTCGTTGTCAGTTCGCGGTGGAGCCGTAGTACCTCTTCTACCACGCCGTCTCCGAAAAGGGTGTCGCCGCCGTCTTTAGCCTGGACGATCATTTCAGCCATTGCGTCGCCGGAAGGGAAAAAACTGACATGTTCTAACCCTTGCATGGCTGGCAACGTTTTCCCGTTGTCGGGAACGAAGCTGAATTCGTCGTCTAAGACGAGTCCGATGAGCCCGAAGTATCCTAAAAGTCCAGACGCGACCAAAGGCAGTAGGATAAAAGGAGCCGGGCATTTGGCCACTGTCTTACCCCAGCGGTAATATACTCGGCCCGCGGCCGCGTCAAGCCATTTGGCTATCATGTCGTCGTGTACTCGGTGGGCAGTGAACGTTGAAATTCCTCGCCTGGCCTCTCCTTTTAACTGATCATCAAGAAAGTCTGAAAATAACAGAATTCACCAGTTTGGAGAAGAACAGATAAGAATTTCAAGCCACAACAGCTGTTTGTCATTGTTAAGTCGCTAATTTACTAACCGCCTAAGGGCGTAACATTCTTGATCCTCTAGTTTGCACGCACATTTAATGCTCAAGAAAACCTGTTTACCCAGGGACGTTCTGTCATTGGTTTACCGAAGGACATTACACATCAGTGCCCTTGGCCTAACAGGCACTTTTGAACTATGAACTTTTACATATGACACGGGAGGCCATTCTGAACATGGTGTCAAGGAAATAGGTGGGGCAACTCAATGTTTATGGGAATTAAGGGCTTGTTTCAAAATGACCGCCAAGCAAACAGACCACAGTTCACCAGGATGACCATGCAAGACTGCAAGTCACTAGTACGTACAGACGGGGGATATATGGGTGCTTTGTCTTTCATGTCACCTGTACATGTAGGAGGCGATTGCCCTATTTCGGAACCTTTGTCCTCGGAAACTGGAGTCTGTGGCCTCTTACGACCTTAAAATTCTATAACAGTACGGTTGCCTAAAATCCCGTTTTAACTTCGTCATTACTACTACTAGGAGCCTTGTAGCACTGAAAACATTCGCGCAAACCGATGTCGAGAAATTGATTTCAGTGCATTTCACCCCCCTCCCACAAACTGACAAGGTGTTCTCAACTTTAAGCACTGCGATAAATTAAAAAAAAACACAACTGATTTCTTTCAAAGTAAAATTAAACATGACTGCATATATCGCATAGAACAGCCATTTATTAGTTCCTGTGTGCATCGGGCATTTTGGTGTTTCAATCTAAAAAAACATTTTACACATCAATTGTAAGTGCATTTTATACATAGATATAACAAAGTACGTTTTAGAGATATTAAAAAATCTGTTACATCAGATTTAACTTCTACAAGAGAACAGCCCTAAAGTACTGTCCCAAGCTAGTGTGTTTCTAGCACAATATATGGCATAAGATGAACAACGTGCGCAGAGTATATTGTAGGGATAGCGATGAATTGCATAGTTACGTGTACATGTATACGTAGATTCAATATAATGTCGATATATCATGTGCTCTTTCTATAATATAAGACCATACTGATTAGATTGGAATCCTCTCGCAATCCCAAACTTTGTTATTTGCACGTTGACGTCAGTTTTGGGTTCCCAGAGAATGTCATCAATATAGTCAGATCAGCAGGCCTAGTAAAATGTAACAGTCTTACACACGTAAATAATTTCATCAGGTTGGTAAACGAATGAATAGCAAAGTTCTTTGATCACAACCATTTATTTTTCACGAGCCGACGTTTCGATGACCGTCTGTCATCTTCATCAGGACAATTCTGACTGGTTTACTGTGCACTGACGCTAGCTAGATGTTACTTGGTGCATAGTACACTAAAGGTGTTACATAGTTCACAGTGCACTGTTACTTGGTTCACTTGGTAAGCTAGTTTTTAAGCTAGTTCACAGTGCACGGTGAACTATGTAACACCTTTAGTGTACTATGCACCAAGTAACATCTAGCGTCAGTGCACAGTTAACCGGTCGAAATTGCCCTGATGAAGATGACAGACGGTCATCCAAACGTCGGCTCGTGAAAAATAAATAGTTTTGATCAAAGAACTTTGCTATTCATTTAACAGTCTTGTATAACAGTCATATTTCTATACAGCCATAAGAATCAATTAGAGACATTTTCAGAAGTTGCAAATAAATCTTCTGCAACCTCAGAAATGCATAAAGGTAGTCCCCTCTAAATTCACAACTTTGTTGCTGTCCATGATCATATATCTAGTATACCTCGATCGTCCTGCTCACAGGCAAAACACCCATGATTGTTTTAATCTTCCAACTCAATTATTGTAAATTGTCATATACAAAACAAATACCAAAAGTGAGAATGGAGAATCATACTGTACAGCAGAACACGCTAAGGCATTACCCAACTTCAAAGCGTTAGCTCACATTTTGTTACAATTGTTGTGCAATAAAGTTGATTCATTGACTGACTTTAAGGGTTATCTGGGTTATCTGGTTCCATATTTGGGTTATCCACACCTGATTTTTGCCTACCTGCCCATTTTATCCACTCGCGCATTTCCGGAGTAAAATACGGGTTATCCTGTCCGACTTTAGGACGTAAATTAGGCAAGGAACTCTCTGGTTTCATAACATAAAGCTTTGGCGCTCTGCGAAGCATATATGAACTAATCGAGTGAGGTCTTTGATAGAAGGGACGGGGAATGCCTCCGTTAGGCATTGCTAGAGTCTTGATATTTTTCTTGACTGTCGTCTGTTCTTTAACGTTCCCTTGACCACACAGTCCCGTTAAGGTGGTCAACAAAATGGGTAGGATGACCAGTCCGTGAGCCACCCCGAGGACCATCACCAGGAAAACGGTCTTAAATAACGCCTGGAAAATATAGGCTGGAAAAAAGGCCAGGACTAACATGCCGAGGATAGTGGACAGAGAAGATTGCAGCATGGGCATGCCGACGGCACGCACGGCATCTGTCAGTTTATCCTCGGGAGTTGCAGCTTTGGAAGTGACATAAGCGTGGGTTATGTGTGCGAAGAAATCCACGGAGAACCCGGTACACATGACGATAGCTATCACAGAGATCAGGTCGAGATTTATCCCCCATAAGGTCATGTACCCCACAAGGCCCGTGATGATGGAAACCAGAGCAAAGGTGGTGAGGAAAGCAGCGACACAGTGCGGGATGAAGAGGAAGCACACCGCGAACATGATCGCTACAGCAATGCCCGCCGTCTGTAGCGCACTCGGAGGGATCAAGGCTAGCTGGTCTGACAGGAAGAAATCAATGCTGAATGCCCTCATTATAAATGGCTCGCTTTCTGCGATACGACGAGCTTCTGCCATCATGGCTGCCCCTCTCGCACTAGTAGTAGTTGTCACGTCCTTTGGTATAACAAAGAACCGGGATGCGGATATGCCAGTGTTATTTCCTGTAAAATTTAAAGACCTATAATACTGGCGCCCAACCGTCGGCAGAAACTGGCTGATTAGAATCTGCAAAAAGGACGTCTTGTCTGTGGCGGCACGAGAATTACCAGTCCGATTCAGAAAACGGAGATAGTCTCGCAACCAGACCTCGGCGGTCTCTGATGTGTCGTAGAAATACTGGCTCTGGTCGAAGGCTTTGAGTTTGTCTAAGACAGCCTGTTGCACTTCTGTTTTCCAGTATTCCTGTGGTTCGGTTGTAAAGATATCTACTTTACGGCCGTATTTGTGAAAGTGCGTGTCCAATGCATCGAAGTATCCGCGAACGTATGAGTCGTCTGCTACTGAACGTTGGTGCTGAAGGCCTATATGGATTTGAAGCCACCCCCAGATAGCTACCCCCAGATAAGCAGCATACAAAAGAAATATGACCACTTTTGACGAGGGTTTCAAAATGAATGGAACGAAGTTAGTATACAATAACCTGTTTAACACCGGATCATGGTTAAATATTTTAGAGGAGCCTTCCTGCCTCGACACGCCTGCTGCGCAGCAGAGTCGGTAGGTGGCGCTTTTGTGCCGTGCCTGTGATTGGGGCAGGACGGGCCGGCAGGTGAGGCAGTGACGGTTGGCTCGCTCTCGGCGTCCAGTCAGGGACATGAAGGCAGCGAAGAAGGTGATCTGTAAGCAAGTAGGAAGAAACTTTAAGGTGAAAACCTCCCATATATACCAACATATGTATTCTGATTTCCCTATTCTATATATAGTAGTCCAGTTTGTGAAAAAAAAAAATTGCAAAAAAATGATGATAAAGTTCCTTGATAAGCAGCTTAGAGGAGATGAAAATGTTAAAGAAATCCTTTTACCCACATTAAAATGCAGTTTTCTAAAAACATATTTTTGTGTCATTTGATTTTGACATGGTGCTAAGTAAAATGGTGGCGAAACACAATGGTTTATGGGAATTTTGGCTTGTTTCGCAATGGCCGCCAATCAAGATGACGGCTCATGAAGTACATGCTAGAAAACAGACCACAGTTCACCAGGATGGCCATGCAAGACTGCATGTCACTGATACGTACAGACAGGGGATATATGGGTGCTTTATATTTCATGTCATCTGTACACATGAGAGAAGCTAAGTAATTGCCCTGTTTCGGAACCTTTGTCCTCGGAGTCAGTGGCCTCTGACGACCTTAAAATTCGATCTATAAGAGTACGGTAGCCTAAAATCCCGTTTTAACTTCATTCGTCATTACTACTTCTAGGGGCCTTGTAGCCCTGAAAACATGGAAGTATTTGGTCAACCCAAGGTCAACCCGATGTCGAGAAATTGGGTCCAGAGTGCATTTTGCCCCCCTCCCACCGACAAGGTGTATCAACTTCAAGTACTGGGATAAATTCAAAAAACACAACTGATTTCTTTCAAAGTAAAATTTAACATGACTGCATATATCACTTAATCATATCCTGGAATTTTAAACAGGTGCCTAGTTCTGATCCAGAAATATAGACTGTCAAATTTGCTTAAAATTGGTCAGCCATATTGTTTTCACTGTGTGAACTTCAAGCACTGGGATAGATTTCAAAATATGAAATGATTGTTTTCAAAATAAGATGAAACATCAGTACATATATAACTACAACATGTTTGGGAGTTTTGAAGAGGTGATTATTTTTGATCCAGAAATATAGACAAAAGAAATATATGTCAAAGTTGCTTAATATTTTGCCAGCCATATTGTATACAGTATGTGAACTTCAAGAGCTGGCATAAATTCAAAAACATCAAATGATCTTGTTCAAAGCCAAATAAAATTTAACTACATATGTACCCAAATTCTATTCCAGGATTTTGAAGTGATCCATTCATGTGATCTGGATATATACACTCTCAAATTCACTTGAAATTTGGCAGCCATATTGTTTACAGTATGTGGATTTCAATTACTGGTATGCATTTAAAGAACACAGAAGACTCTTTCAAAGTCAAATAAAAGATGACTACATATCGCACTCCAACATATTCCTGCATATTGTAAAGTTACATATTTTTGATCAAGAATTTTACACTTTCAAAGATGTTCAAAATGTGGTCAGCCATATTGTTTTGAATGTCAACTACAAGCCTTGGAAGAAATTCTA